ATTAACCAAACTTCCTTGTAAAAGTCCAGCAAAGATTACATCTCTTCATCTCTAAGAAATTTGCACCCTAGCATTAGTCATTCTAACAATCTTTATATAAGTCAATTCCCATAGGAATGAGGAAGGTGAAATTGCTGGTGTAAAATGGGAACTCCCACCTATGGGAGTCCTGGTGGCTTTTTTTGCTGAACTTGCAATTATTAGATAGAGAGTAACAGGACTTTCTGCTCTTGAGATTTGAATGATTGTGTCAGTCCGGTCTGTAGATCAATCAGCTGAACGACTGTAGTTGCCCATGGTGCAGCATGTCATGGCATACTTTCAACAGGCTAGGTGCATCTGCTTTTAAAATCTCACCTTTCCAGATCTGCCATACATAAGTTGCATATATAACTTTTACTGCTACAGTTTTAGGAGACATTGTGCCCAATGCTGCTCTCTTAGCAGTCAGTAGCAGAGCTCCTAGTGGCTTAAATGAGAACAGGATTAGGACCATTATTAGGACATCCATGAATGCGAATAACTCTCTTATGCTATGAGATCTGGATTAGTTGTAGCTTTGTATTACACTGTGGAGACACTTTTATCCATCAGGAGGGAGACTCTAACATTCAAAATTAAGGACAAAGGTGAAACCTATAAATAACAACAAAAGGAGGAAGGCAATATATAAATCATTTCCTCATAACAATGGTTTTCTAAGCTCAGGTAATCATAGTCACCTTTCATGATGGAAAGTAAAGTGTATTACAGTTTGTTTTAATGCTGTGAAAGATCCTATATTATCCAAAACAGAAAGCCTGATTTTACACAGAAGCTTTGTAATGACATAAAACCATTTCTGACCCACAAAAATGAAAGACTACACATCAGGCATCCCTGTTGAATGGTTATTCGTGTGACTGCGCCAACTAAATGACAACAGCACATTCTGCATGAGACACACTTAGGAATTGTTCCAATGGAGGTATTAGCAAAAAGTTCTGTGTGGTGGCCAGACTGGGTGAGACTCAGTCCTGGGGGGTAACTCCAACGAAGTCATTCGAGTTACACCCGGCATGAAGTTCATTCATTGAAATGACAGCAAGGAGTCGTTTGGGGTGTGAGCATGTGCCAGCACTGCCGACACCACGGGTACGACTGTGGTTCGGGATGGACTTTGGCGGAGAAACCATGTGGATTTTGCACGAGCACCTTGGGGAGAAATGTTCTTTGTAGTTGTTGATGCTGCTGTGCTTGCTAAATCCGCATTATTTATAGCAACTAGTGTATCAAAAGCCTTAAGGGAGTACTATGCTTTTTTTTTTTTTTAATACACCCAGACGGTTAGTTCACAGTTTGCATTATAGGAATTTGAAAGATTTTTCATTTCAATAAATGGGCTCAAACATCTGGCCACCTATTTCCGTCACTGGTTTAGGGCAAGGAGTTTTACTGTTGTTTAAATAAAGTTTAAACTCTTGAAAGACAGTACTTCAACCAGGTACTCCAACATGTTGGCAGTCTGGTTGCCTGTTGTAATCTTCCTCATATCAAGGCATCAGCCATGTTACTTTTTGGTAAAAAAAAAATTGAGGTAAAAACTATATCAGGTATGATCTGAAATTCAGCAGGACGTTGCAGTAAAACAAGCTGAACACATGGAGCTTGGGGCACAGAATGCTAGAGTAGGAATTTGAAGTTCAGACGCTATATTCTAGCCAGGAGCTCTGCAAGCCAAGGGAGAAATAATTGGGTATTTTCAAAAGTTGTGGCATGGTCAGAGCCAGTATCTTACAGCTCCCCTTCAACTTTAATTCTGCCCCCTTGTGCCCATGCATTATGATACAATATTCACATACAGGATGGAAAGTATTTTTTTCGACAGGACCCCTTCCTGAATCAGTGCACAGGATGGACAGTGCTCTGGGAATCAGGCAGCTGTTCAATAGTTCTCTTTATCTTCAATGAATGGGCCCTGCCTTCTTCACCTTGCCCTATCCAAACTCAGTGCTCAGTACAGAATTATTAATTTCCTCATGGAATTTTTTTATCGCTCTCTCACTATAGTATCGGCACCTTACAGACCAGAGCTTCCTAGAAGGGGGAGGAGGAGCAGTTTGACCAAGGGCCCCCTCAGAGGGGCATTGCAACTTGGGGTCTCAGCACCACTCAGGTTTGGCCCACCTGCCCGTCAGGCATGAAGGAGGAATGGCCAGGCAAATTTGAGTGAGTGGCATTGTGACCTGGTGCAAACCTGAGTGGTGCTGTAACACAATGCACCAGGTCACAATACCTGGAGTGGGGAGCCCAGCCCAAGAGCCACGGCTGTGGGGTGAATGAATGGCAGGCTTATTCTCCAACCCCAACTCCCACCAGGGCCTCCCCCATTGGTAATTTTTTTGGAAGTGTAGGGGGCCTCAGTTTCAAATTTTGCTCTAGGTCCCAAAAAAACCTCTCTGCGGCCCTATCGCATACACTAATGAATTTATCTGCACAAGTCCCTTGCGAGGTACGGACATAGCATCCCCTTTTCACAAATGAAGAATTAAGATCAGAGATAATAGCCCAACATGGCCAGAAGTGTACACTAATTTTAGGTGCCTAACTTGAGAGACCAAAGGCCTGAATTTTCAGGTGCTGCAAGCCCACTGATTTTAACCAAACTCCCATGGGCTTCAGCTGGAACTGTGAGTGTTCAGCACTTCTGAAAATCAGACCCTCACATTCTTAGGCTGGGCGCCCCAAAACAGTGGACACTTTTGCAAATTTTGGTCTTATTCTCTTTGGGCCAGACTTTGGAAGGTATTTAGGCACCTAGAGATACAGATGGGTGCCTAAATATCTTTGAGGATCTGAGCCTATGTGCACAGCTGCACCTTTAGGCACCTAAATAGCTTTGAAAATCTGGCCCTTTGTGCCTCAGTTCCCCATATGTAAAAAAGGGGATAATATTTCCCTCGCTCACATGGTAGTTGTGAAAATAAATCCAGTCATGTTTCCAGAAAATGAGGAACATAGAATCAGTGAGTACTGCTGAAAATTCTGACTGAAGTGACTGACCTGACATCTCATAGGAAGCATGTGGCAAAGCCATGCCTGAACTGAGCTCTCCTCGCAGTCCACTGTTTTAAGATTATCATTTTTTAAAGGAAAGGGAAGAAAAATAGAACAAAAATCAGGAATCTCAAAGACTCTTAAGGCCAGAAGGGACCACTGTGCTCATCTACACTGACCTCCTGCACATCGCAGGACACAGAACCTCACCCACCCACTCCTGTAAGAGACCCCTACCCTCTACCTAAGTAACCAAAGTCCTCAAATCATGATTTAAAGATGTCAAATTACAGAGAATCCACCCTTTACTCTAGTTCAAACTAGCAGGTGACTTGTGTCCCTCGCTGCAAAAGAAGGTGAAAAACCTCCAGGGTCTCTGCCAATTTGACCTGGGGAAAAATTCCTTCCTGACTGCAAATATGGCAGTCTGTTAGACCCTGAGCATGTGAGTAAGATCCACCTACCAGACACCTGGGAAAGAATTCACTGTAGTAACTCAGAGTCCTCCCTATCTCTGGCAGTTGGAGATACATTTTAAAAACCCTCCATGATGGCAATTATTTCATACTTTAAGTCATGAAGCAAATCACTTTACGTGCACTGAAGTGATGTTACACATTTTGGACTTCCCCCACCCCCGATTGTGTTACATACTGGTATCTGCTTGCAATCACAAAACTGCTTCTAGTCAAGACGTCTGGATATGGTGTCTATTTATTTGAGCAACACTTGGTGACAAACATGCCACTGTTTTTGCTGCCCTTGCTGCTGCTGATTCTGTACCACATGTTTGGTGTCTGCAGTGGTATCCCTCTGCCTAACCTGCCCAGCCAGATAGACTGCCTTGTGGGTGCCCTTTTAATGGGAGCCAGGGTTCTGTGGCATCACTGTGTATTGATGAAGGACGGTAGCTTACTACTCCACACGGTCCTTGCAAGATGAAGTACCGTTGCTGCTTGCTCAAACTTTTGGGAGAATTGAATACACCTTCTCCTCCATCGGCAGATATGCCTGCATTCCGCTTCTGCTCCTTCTCCCTCTTGCTTTCCTCTCTCACTTCTTCCTTTTCTCCACTTCTCTTCTGGTGTCCTCCTTTCCACCACTCTCCATCCCCTCCATCATCTAATTCCCCTATTTGTTTGTACATATGTAATTTTGTATCTATTAAAGTGGTCAAAAGTAGCATACATTACAATTCAGAGTGAATTCTAGCTTGCAGTCTTGCGGAATTGGAAGATGTCCATGGAACTGGGTCTTAACTATGCAAGACTATCATTTGGAGTGTCACTTCTGTGGTGAATTGCCATAACAATTCTGTGTATACTAAGGGCCAACGCCTGTAGTGAGTGTATTGAGACAAAGGAATAGGGAACCTATTCATCCCCAGTGTGTTTCCCTTACAAACAACAAAGCACTAGGGGGAGCCAGGTTAGCTGGTTTGCTGGTGATGAGACATGATCAGCCCATCAGCTGAATAGCTAACGTGTACACTTGAGACAGCAGGATGTGTCAGTTGGGGCCGCATGGTGCCTCACATCAAAGGAGAAGCAAAGTGTACTCAATAGTGCATAGCACCTGCCCACACTGAGCCAGCAGCATGGTTCTTGTGCTAGACGCAAGGGTTTGCACCCTGCTACTCACCCCACTGTCACCCCTGCTTCAGTCCATTCAGTCAGGGTAGGATTTTGCCCGAAATCTGTTGTGGGTTTGATTCACTCCTGTAATTGTGGAATGCAGCTTCACCCAGACATAAGCAGCTGACCTATTTGCTTTTAATTATTTATGATAATGAAATAGAAAAAAAACCAAATTCTCAAAAATTTTCCACAAAAATGAATACGCTTTCAGTTCAGCTCTATGGCCATGAAAGAAATCATAGTTCACTGCCATTGCTTATAAAGTTTATTTATTTTTAAGTTCAAATCAGATGAAAATCTCAAACCAAATATACTAATGGAGGAAATTAAGGTGGATTTTTTTTTACAACTTTTCCAAGAACCACATATGGATAAGCATACTTCTGCAAAACAAATACAATGTTTATGTACTTGGACACTCAGATTCCAGAGATTCATAATGAGCAATGTGGTTTGCAAACCATTAATTATTTATTCTGTTTAACGATGGAACAAACAAATGCCAATAAATGCAGGCAGGTACAATGTTTGAGAGGGAACATGTCTACTGTAAACATGCCGATACATTTTTTTGGTGGAAGCCTGTGAACAAGAATAGCCCCTAAGGAGGAGAAAAATGGACATGCCTCTCTTTGTTTTCATTTTCCAAAACAAACCTGACAGAACAGGCAGATTCTGCCAATAGCAAGAAAAATAAACCCCACAGCTTTTCTATTTAAATCACTGCCTTGTCCTACTGTTTTGTAGAGTAGCTATTTCTGTGCATCCGATGAAGTGAGCTGTAGCTCACTAAAGCTCATGCTTAAATAAATTGGTTAGTCTCTAAGGTGCCACAAGTACTCCTTTTCTTATTTCTAGCTAGTAGTTGGCAGTTTTGTATCCCTGGGCAGATATACGGATGGCCCTGAGAAGAGTCAATAAAGGTTGGGTTTTGGTTTTGTTTTTTAAATAATTTTCAACCCATACTTTATTGGTACTCTTGTGAGAACAGCTTCTTGCTAGTTTCATTGCCCGTGCAACATCTCTTACTCAGATTTAATAGCCAAGTGAAAAGATCAGTTTGGAGATGTATGAAGAAAATTAAGGCCAACTTCCCTGAGTATGAATGTTATGATCATGCCCTTCTCACCCAAAAAATCAGGAAAGATTAATATAATTCAGCAAATAAACAAAGACAGGTGTGACACTGCCATTCATAGTTCAGCGAAGTACTAAAAGACGCCAATACCACAAAGAGCTTGCCAACTAGCCCAGTGACATGGCTGCTACTGCACTCAGTTCTAGCTAGACTTCAGGACTCTTATTTCTACACCAGCCACACCCACTCATCCCTCTAGTTTGAGTAGCCGGAGAGCATCATGGAGGTGACAGTGTTAGTCTCTCACAGAGAGCATGTGGCTTTTGCGCATCCTCTAGTGGCCAATCTTGGAACAGCATTATAGTGATCTTAGCAGACACTGACTTCCCTTTTGGCCTTTATCTAACGGCAGCATTGTGGAGCCAGAGGAATCGGATAAACCCGGGACTGTTAAAGGGTGGAAAAGGGTGGCAAAATGTAATCTGGGAAATGAAATCACCTAATTAATATAATTTGGATATGAAAATATTAGTGATTTTGGCTAACCGATAAATTTTCTAAATAAAGTCTTTCAAATGCAGTACTGTAGATCCAGAAAAATTCCCCCGGCACTAGATTTGATGCCCACTGTATTTGCTGAACTGCATTTTATAACCAATATATAATAAGAATTATATCTGCTTAGCACATCCTGATTTGCTTTAAGTCATACAGGAGTTAGTTCTATAGTAAGAGACAGATGGAATGGGAATTAGGGAGCTGCTCAGAAGTGGTGAGCTGAATCTGTTCTACTTGTACATACACTGGATGCACATGGTAATTTCAGCCTTACAGTCTATCACATTCAATATTGGGGTTGGTAGATGCAGAATCAAAGGTACCAAAATACACTTCCCTGTTTTTGGGAGGTGGGGTGTTGGTTGGACTCCCTACCCCAGAATCAGGACTGGGTGCAGGCTGGACCTCCGCTGCATATTTCTCTTCTCTCTGAGAAGGAGAAGGCTCCTGCTTCTGCTTGAGGTTTTTGAAGCGTTTGAGCTTCACGGGGTCCTTAGTCTCCTTAGCACAATGCAGCAAGATGAAAATGTCCCTTCGGAATTTGGAGCTCATTCCAAAGTAGATAATGGGGTTGTAGAAGCTGGCAGACTTGGCAAACAGACTGGCAAGGATGCTGGTTAGATTGGGCACAGAGTAGCCACAGGCAGACCACATTGAGATGACAGCATATGGAGACCATGCTATAATAAAGGCTGTGCAAATGACAATAGAAACCTAGGCGAGAGAATGAAAACATCTTTTATTTTCTTAAGACAATACTGTACATTGGATTACACTAAAGCAGCAGAGAGATGCAGTGTGGTTTGATGGCTAAGAAACACCTGGCTTGTATTCCCAGCTGTACCACTGACCTGCTCTGTGACCTTGGGCAAGTCATTTCATCTCTCTGTGCCTGTATTTTCCCTCTCACACTTCGTCTTAGATGGTGAGCAAGTTGCGGCAGGGACTGTCTGTTACTATATGTTTGTACAGAATCTAGCACATTTCTGATGTGGAAAATGTGATGATTGTCTGTTTTAGATAAGGAATTGAGCGTATGTCTTCATTGCCATATGCTATTGTATATGATGGAAACCACTTCAGGTCAAGGGTGTACCTGCTAGTTCCTAGGACCCTCAGTTCTGCTAGTTCCAGCACCCTTGCACTAGGACACACTATGGACTAGATTTAGCAACTTTTGCTCTTGTTCATTGGTACTTATTCATATATGCTGTCTGGCTTCGTTTGGACAGCTCAGATGGGTATTTCTCAGAAGCAATTCAAATATATAGAATTGGCTCCACTCTAAGTATTTACTGAGATAAAAATAGCTCAGGTCCTTTGTCCACCCCTGGTTTTCAGAAGTGCTGAGACTCTCACAGTCCCAGCTGCGACATCAGCAGGAATGATGGGTGATCGTCTCATCTGAAAATCAGGCTCTAGGCCAGCGGTGGGCAACCTGCGGCCTGTCAGGGTAATCTGCTGGCGGGCTGCCAGATGGTTTGTTTACATTTGCACGGCCGCCCGCAGCCCCCAGTGGCTGCAGTTCGCTGTTCCCAGCCAATGGGAGCGGCGGGAAGTGGCGGCCAGTGGCGGCCGCAGGTTGCCCACCGCAGCTCTAGCCCAGTATTTTCAAACATAACACCTAAAAAGTTTGACACCTGAGGCACTAAATAAATGCCCGGGTTTTTAGAAGTGTTTGGCAGAGAGCGTTTCCAATGAGTGCAACGGAGTAGCGCGTATTCAGCACATCTGAAAAGCAGACTGCTTACGTGGGTCCTGAAATATAGATTTAGGTGCCTAACGATAACTTACGTTAGATTTTTTTTTTTGCCACTTGTATTTTGAAAGAATTAGGATGAAGATGCAGGGAATATGAAATAAGAACGGTCAACTAAGGGCAGGAAAAAGAAACAGGAAGGGAGACTGGAAAGAGGATCATGCAGAAGAAAGATACATGGTAGAAGGACAGAGAGTGGGGGCTGGGAGGGTGGGGAGAAGTGAAGGAAATGTAGGATAAGACTCAAAAGGGAAAAAAAAAGAATAATAAAAGCAAAGTATAATAAAAAAAGTATAATAAAAACAGCTTTTTATTATACTCGGGTTTAATAATGAATAGTGGGATTTTTAAAAGCACTCAGCTTTTACTAAATCTCCTATTAACTTTGATGGAACAGGAAGCAGCATTAAGCCAGTGATTAGCATTTTTAAGAATTCCACCATAAGTTTCTCTCTGCACAGTACTATCACTTCAGAAAAAGAAGAGGACACAATCTTTGGTGATTCATAAATAGAGTACTTCAGTTATATATTCGCCATCTTTTTGACTGACTGCATGATTTTTTTTCATGTTCAGGTTTAATGTTCATTTGTGATCCAATTTGATAATAAGTCTTCAATTTCGTCATTGAACTCTAATGCTGTAGAAGAATGCAAAGTGCCCGCTCTGTTTTCTTGTATACTACAGGTATACGAAGCACCTAGACATACCCGAGTGACATTTCGCTCCATTCGCCTCTGCCTATCTGTTGGATCACCCATTCCAGTTAGTGCATGGCTTGACTTGACAGTGTTGATGATAGACACGTATGAGAAGACCATGACAATCACAGGTAGAAAGAAACAGCAGATAAATATAGACACAATGTAGGACTTGTAGATTGTAGAGAAATTGGCTTTTGCCCAGTCTATCTCACAGGTGCCATACATGCGATCTAGAAAACAAAACAGTGTGGTTAGCTTTTTTCCTTTTTAATATATTTGTCTTTAATAATCTTAAAGCATTTGATTTATAAATTTAAAACATATAGTTTTCTTCTTTTAGAAAGCAAAGGACCAAGTGATCATGGTGATTTAATGAATTATGACATAATGTTCTATAGACACAATTTTCCAAGACCTCATAGATTGCAACAAAATGTATTACAGGCTACTTGCCTCTGATTTAGATTTCCACTGCCTAGCCAGCATGAAGAAACCATTGCTAAGGGGGGACAGTAAAGGGTAATATTTTAATTCCCATTCTCAGAAAAATGGTTATTAATTCTGTAGGTTTGATACCATTGCAAGTTATGTTCTTCCATTTGCTATTACTTTCTACACAGTAACTTTTTCTAAGATCTTGGTACCAAACAGCACAATAAGAAGTTATTGTAACAAAGATAATACACCAATCAATTAAAAAAGTCACGTTAACTAACAAATTACAAAATAAGAAATAGGAATAAAAAATATTGAATCTTTCAAAATAGAATGGAGAAAGCCACAAACATTCTATATGGAAAGGACTTCCACTTTAATGATACCGGAGGTGCAAAAATATTAATACAGCAAATGGCTGTATTAATGGGACCACACCTGAAAAAAACTGAGATCAGACATAAATTGCAAACTAGAGCGTACAGTTATAAAGGGGCTACAGATGCTTAGATAATGGGCCAGATTCACAAAGGGATTTAGGTGCCTTAAGATGCAGGTAGGCACCTAGTGGGATTTCAGAAGTGCCTACGCAAGTTACGCACTTAACAGAAGGTCAATGGGAATTAGGCATCTAACCTGCTTGGGTGCTTTTGTATATCCCACTAGGCACTTATCTGCATCTTTAAGCTCCTAAACGCCTTTGTAAATCTGGCCCCGTAACAAAATATTGAGTATGACTCATAGCAAAGAGCCTGCCTATATATTTCACACTTGAACAAAGGTTGGAATGAAGGTTTCAAGGACTCCCCAAAATGAAATGAGCAGCAAGGTTTTCCATAGACTGTAAACAGTTTTAAAAAAATTAAGTCTGTTGACTGCTCAGACAATCATTGCAATAAAATACATCACAAATAAGCAAAAGCATGAACCAAAGTTTTAGCTGTTTACACAGTCAAGTATTTACAATCCCTGGAAAAGTTAAACAGGTGAAACCTGCATGATTCAGCAATGGAACTCATATTAGCATCAAATTACAAGACCTAATCAAAAATAAATCCTCTTAATTCTCCATAGCTGATGAAGCTTAAATGGGATGAATTAACTTTCAGAAGACAGGAACCAGAGATAAAAAATTAATTACTTACCTTGAGCTAAAAGACATTGGTCTTATCCATATTTAACATCAAAAAGTTCTGATGCACTTATCTGGATACATTCAGTAAGAACCTTGCAAACCAAAGGTGAAATCCTGGCTCCATTGAAATCAATGGCAAAACTCCTATTGACTTCAACGGGACCAGAATTTCATCCCACAAGTAGATTGTATAGGGAAATATTGGAAAGGATGTATACACCTGGACAAAGTAGCACATAAGCAGTACTCTCACCCATGTAATGTAATATCACTAATTAGTAGAAGATGCAGAGAAAGTACCAGGCCCAAAACTGAGATCCGAGGTATACCCAGAGTACAATCATAAGCATTCCCTGGATAAATTGTTCTTTATGAATTATACTCCCAGCTCTACTGATAATCAGTCTGCTCTACAATAAACGGCAAGATAAGAGGGAAATCATCTTTGTTCTATTAAGAGCAAATGTGCCAATTGTGTCACTGTAGGAATGTATGAGAGGCCCTTTACCTGTATAACTGCCCCATCCAAGTACTGGAGCCACTGACCAGAAGAAAGCTGCTATCCAGATGAGAACCAGGGCCACAGTGATGCTGCTGTTGCTAATGCAATGCCCTGGAACATACAACACAGTGAGAAAATGGCACTTAACACACTGACCCTTTCCCGATTTAAATCTATTCACATTGGACTACTGTAAAGACCAGGGAGGGCTAATTAGGGGAATCTTGGTACTTGAGATAATTCCCAGACAAAAAAAATGTTTTTAAACTAAAGGTAAGTTTGAAAGTATAGATCAGTGACTTGAGTGTTCAAGATTTTGCAAGGACATTGGAGTTAGATGAGATTAGATTAAAAAGTGACAGATAAATTAGATATGAGACAATTCGGAAATTCAGTGTTAAAGCTACAAGAAACATATATGAACTTTGCAGTTTTGTAAACCTTTAAAAAGACAGGAAATTATAAGTTTAATTTAACACGAAAAAAGAAAAACAATGGAAAGAATGGACATTCACTAGTATAGCATTCAAATAACTTTAAATCTGCCCCCGCACTGTAGCCAGAGGAAAACAAACCAGAAACTCAAACTACCGTATTCAGCCAGCATAACACTTTCAACTCATCCATGATCAGAGAAACCAGAATAACTTACTCTTAACCATACAGTGGTTGTGCCAGTTCCAGCCTTCTTTAAAGGGATATAAAGTCCTCAGAAAAATGCATCCTTTACCTGACTAGATTAGCAGAGTACTCTCCTCACTTTTCGTTCAGATTCCATGTTCCATCACTTACACAAATATCATTAGGCCCAGGTGCTGCGGTCTGCACATGCAAACCTCTCAGTGCCAGACAACACATAGGAAAATTATTTTAACCTATTACATTTGAAAGAAATTTCTGCTTTCCAGACAATAGGTGTAGACAACTGTCTACATATATTTTGCTGAGGTTGTCTGGTTGTGACTTGTGATGGGATTTAGCCCAGAGTCCAGCCCACTCAAATACTGCAAGAGCCTTCTGGAATGACCCTTACATTTAACTCTCTGGCACAGATATCTGAGATATGTATGTTAATAAAGTTATTGCTTTCCCTGTACTTACCACTTTTCCTACAGAATATGAGCCTCAGGCGTGTCAAAGGCAAAAGGCTTTTAGTTACTCACATTTCTAATGGTTTTAATTAACGGATTCCACTCTCTTCTCTTCTTTGTCCTTGATTCCCAAGCTGTTGATGCTGTCATTGGATGGGAGGGGTTCTGAATGATCCTACTTATTAAATACAGGAAATGTTTTCAGCCTGAGTCCCCCAAGTGCTCCACTGTGTCCTCCCTTACTCGCCCATGCCCTCCCCTGTCAGGGATAGTTGAGCTCAGTTTCCATAGTGCTCCCTGAGTATCTGGCCTGACTTCAGTGATAACGAACGTGCAGTTTCTGCTATGGTTTGGCTGCATCAATGGCCCTTGATAATGTTGCAGTCAGCAGCAGCAATAAAGGGATGGGAAAAGCCACGTGGGCCAAATTCTGATTTATACGGAGGCCCACTATGCAGCAGTGTAAAGCGACCCTAAAGTGGGAATAAATTGCATTTACACCCCGTTACGCTGCTGGAGTGGCATAAGGGGCCTTCGAGTAAATGAGAATCTGGCTTATACATATGTTTAATCTTCAATTGTGTAAGTATTCAAAGCAGGCTTTTTAAGTACCCTCTTCTAACCAGCAGAAGTTTTGGAAGCTTGGCTAAAATGTGTGCAGCCCTGTTCCCTGTGTCGATGCAATTAATTTGGTCCCCATGGGAGCAGTGGTGAGTTGCTGAAGAGGTAAAACTCTGAAAGAGGAAGATTTCTTCAGAGCACAGAGAGCTGTCCAAGACACTAGACTTCCTGTGGTTACTTAAGGCTAGATTCACAAAGGAACTCAGGCACCTTGGGCTAGATCCACAAAGATATTTAGAGTCATAATTTCCACAGAAATCAATTACTTGGGCATGGGGTATTCTGGGGCAGGTTTTTCTCAATCTCTCCTGGGCACCAGAGACAGAATTACTCTCAGAGGTTACAGAGGAACAGCCGTGTTAGTCTGTATTCGCAAAAAGAAAAGGAATACTTGTGGCACCTTAGAGACTAACCAATTTATTTGAGCATGAGCTTTCGTGAGCTACAGCTCACTTCATCAGATGAAGTGAGCTGTAGCTCACGAAAGCTCATGCTCAAATAAATTGGTTAGTCTCTAAGGTGCCACAAGTATTCCTTTTCTTTTCTCAGAGGTTAGGGCACTCACCAGGGATGTGAGCGACCCAGGTTCCAGTCCCTCTCTTCCAATGCCTATTTAATTGTTTATACACAGTGGAGCAGCCTCAACAGGCGAGATTGAGAGAGACCCCAGAATACCCCATAGCCCAATGGCTAGAGCACTCTCCTGAGGTGGGTGGGACACCAAAGTTCAAGTCCCTTCCCCACATTAGACAGAGGAGGGAATTGAACCCAGCTCTCCACATCCTGGGTGAGGGCCCTAACACCACTGGGCTAAAAGTTACAAAGGGGGCACTATCACATCCTCTGGCTGTTTTGTGTGGGTCTAGGTATGTTCAGAGCATGCCTACCAAATTGGGCTCCACAGGCAAGATAGGTGGGGGAACACCTAGTTTGAGGATCTTTCTGGGGCTTAGCTATGATGCCTAGGCACCTAGGCTGAGGTGGCTGTGACCTTGCTCTCCGTTAGAAACTTAGGTGAGAGAGACGTGCATTTAAATTATGGCTAGATATGGTACAATAAATACAAAATACGGTACACAGCACAGCCTGATTCTGACTGCCCGAGCACCAGACTGAGTTAAAAATGGGCCTTAATAGATATATCAGTGACAAGGTGCATTGGTTCTGGTGCAAAGGTGGAACTTCCTGCAGAATATATATTGCCTTGTCAGGGTTGTTATTGCCTATGCAATTAGAAATATCATTTATATAACACAGTAAATGTATACGGTTCTTTATATACAGAGATTGAGACAGGATCCCTGCTCCAAATCTTACAGCGTAAATCACACAAAACAAAGACAAAAGACAATACTGGATAACACTGGAGTTGTGAACTAGCATGGGAAACTATTGATTAGAAGAAGATAGGGAGAATTTCTGGATGGAGTGGTTTTAAAGAGGGATTTGAAGTAGCTGAGCAAGGACTTTTGGTGGGAGATTTCTAACAGGATAGGAAATACAAAATAAATAATGGGAGGAGGACATCCATGATCTTTTAAGTGGGACGATTGGGAAAAGGGTGAGGAGCAGATTGGGGTAGGTGGGAATAAGAGCAGAAATGTAGATGGTGGCATGATTATGTAGGGGTTTGTAGGCAGGTGACAACAAAGAGTATGAATTTAACAGAGTAAGAGACAGGAAGCCATTGGAGGTATTCAAAGTGGTGTAGAGCAGTGGGAGAGGGAGATAACTTTAGTAGTGGTATTTTGGATAGATTGGAGGGCATGGAGGTTAGAGAAGTATACAGTAAACAAGAAATCAGCACTTGGGGAAAGGTTTTAGGGGCAGGGGTCATGAGGAAAGAGTGATTTTTGAGATATTGAAGAGGAAGAAATGACAGGAGAGAACTGGAGAAGGGAGAAGTAGAGAGGAAAGCCAAAAATGGCATGCAGATTACAGGCCTAGGAGACAGGAAGGAGAGTGGCAATGTCAATGGAGCTAGGCAAGGAGTCTGGAGGAAGGTTTAAGAAGAAAGAAGTTCAGTGTTGAAAAGAGTGGGCCTGATTCTGACCTCACATTGTGTAAAAAGTACATGGGTTGATCAGAATCCGGTCCATTGAGTTTAAGATGATGGTAGGGCATCCTAGAGACAATGGCAGAGAAGCAGTTTGAGATGCAAGACAGGATGGTGTTGGAGAGGTTGCAGGGAAGATCAGTAGATTTCAGTGTCCCAGGTGACACCTAACCGTATTCACAATGCCTGCTGTGAGCAGGCAAAACACCACTGAGAACAAAAAGGCATTTGTGGAGGAAAGTGTCCCAAGCCAGGTCTATTAATGGCTGGCAACTGTCCTAAACTTCATTTAATACAAGATGAAATTCACCTCTTTGCAGAGGGACAATGGACATGTGCACCACTTAAGTGCCATTTACACTCTATTTTGAGGGACTTAAGTGATACATAAGCTTAGTGTTGTCCCTCTGCACGGGGTTGAATTCTACCCACAGTGAAGCAAATGTGCCAAGAATAACCCTGCTCTTATTTGGGTTAATCTGAAAATGTTTGATGGAAGCAGATTTCCAACAGAAATTATTGGGCCTGATTTTGATTCTCCCCCTTGTCCATTGGCCACCGTGTTACCCCATTGACTTCAGGGGAGTTATTCTTGTTTTTCACCAAGGTAACTGAAGGCAGAGTCAGAAACCAGCGCTATTTTTAATTTCTTCAAATGTGTGGTTGAAGCCCTTACCTCTGTCTGGATGGCAGCCCTTTATGTAGCGAGTCACACTGATCACTGTAAGGGTATTAATGCTAGCCAGGCCAAACAGAAGTGTCAGAAATCCATCAATCTGCAAAAACAAATAAAAAAGGGGGTTTGTTCCCGCAACCAAACTACAGAATGACAAGGGGGTTGGATTGAGGGGAACTGTTGGGAATGCTCCAGTGGTTTTATATTAATGTTCCTGAAAGTTTTTCCAAAAGCCCAAATGCCAGTGAAATATAAAATGTCAGGGGTCTTTACCATAGAATCATAGAATATCAGGGTTGGAAGGGACCTCAGGAGGTCATCTAGTCCAACTCCCTGCTCAAAGCAGGACCAATCCCCAATTTTTCCCCCAAATGGCCCCCTCAAGGATTGAACTCACAACCCTGGGTTTAGCAGGCCAATGCTCAAACCACTGAGCTATGCCTCCCCCCAATCTCTGTGATCACTGAACAATTAGACACTGAAAAACTAGATACGGTGTGTCATGTGGGTAATGTGAATGTAAAACAAACAAGCAAACACCTGCTGAAATACATCCCCCCAAAATACAAAGTTACAGAATGAAAGAGAAAAAAGACTGCACAGGAGAAAGGGGATAGGATGCAACAATCCTCATTATATAGAGACAAATATGTAAACTGAACACATGAAGTTTAGGTTAAGGTGACAGTAGCAACAGGAAGCATGCAAGCGTGCAATCAACTTAGCTGGGTGGAAAAAAAGATTTTTAAAACGTCCAAACCCAAATCAGCCAAATTATTTATCTTTGAACAATGCTAGTCATATTTGTTACTGGTATGGTAAAACTGACTCAGGCCCTGATCCTGGAATCTGATCCACACAGGTATGCCTGCATAGACCCTTTTGCCTATGTAGCATGCCAGTGAAGTCAATGGCCCCACTAGCAGTCTATGCACAGAATAGTTACAATTCAACTAGGTTAATTCATGGCTATAAGGAAGAAATACCTGCTGAATGTAGCAAAGATGGATGTAGCCAGCTGCTAGTGAATACTGTGTGACTGGGAGGTGATCTGGATAAAATCTTTGCAGGCTTAGTCTAATTTTCAAAAGCTTGGAATCAGATGCAAACACAGAGCTAGAGGGTCACTTGGAGGTATAAGTTTCACATTAAATTGAGTAGGAAAACTGATGTAAGTGGCTCCACACTGTAACTTGCAAGAATTTGGTATTCAATGGTTATATAAATAAAAACCCTGCAACTTAAACCAGTTCATTATTCTGGCAAAATATATTCAGTCCTCACATAAATGGCACCACTCTCATTGAACTCATGCCCGAATTTGGCCTGAGGACATTGTGAATGAGGTGAATATAAATTAAAGTAGGTGTGGTACGCTTTATCTTACACCCTTCTCCTGCAACAAGCCCCCTTGTGCTTTCTCTACATTCATTTTGCAGAATCCCTGAATAGTAAATCAGTGCAAGATGCACTATTATGGCACTTACATGGCCACGTTTGTCAGATTTATGATCAGCTTACACCTGATGTGTAACCAAAACCAATGTATATGTCACAAAAGAATATGACCCAATGATTTCCATGGATGCAGCATATGCTTTCTCCAGGTTGCATTTGGCTGAATTTGTCCTGTTGTCTCTCAGGATTAGTTAAACACCTGGAAATGCAAATGCACTATACACTTCATTAAGCTTATGGAAGCAAATAGCCTCTGCTCTACTATGTGCTATAGCCGTACTGCACAAATTGAGATAACAACATGTGCAAGGACTGCTGTAAATCCACACAGTCGTAAGCTTAAAAAATAGTCCAAGTTATTGTTTAGAACTGAACAGTGTTTCAGGAACCATGAGAACGGTGAAAAATCTGAACAAAAGCCTAAAAAGCAGTAATAATAAAAATACATATAAAGGACTAGGGCTGGATCCTCAGTGGATGTAAACTAGTACAGCTCCACTGAAGTCGTCATGTGTCGGCTGAGGATATGACAATTGCCTCCAAAGATGACAACTGTATTCTCTCATCCTCATTTCCCCATCGTTAGTAGATGTGCCAACGTCATTTCTCACTGAGGGACAATTGTATTTCTTGATCAACTCAATCTACCAATGGAGCGCACAAAAAAAATGGCAGGCAAATGAGACTAGTCATTTTGATTTAAAACGAAATACTGTATCATCATAAGTAGAGCTAGTTGAAACATTTTCAGTGAAACATCTTTCCATCAGAAAATGCTGTTCAATTAAATTGAAATGTTTCATGGGAATCAGAGTAGCAGCCGCGTTAGTCTGTGTCCGCAAAAAGAAAAGGAGGACTTGTGGCACCTTAGAGACTAACAAATTTCTTTGAGCATAAGCTTTCGGGATGAAGTGAGCTGTAGCTCACAAAAGCTTATGCTCAAATAAATTTGTTAGTCTCTAAGGTGCTACAAGTCCTCCTTTTCCTTTTTCATCGGAGTGTGTCAATTTCAACTAAATTGGTGGTTTTGATAATGCGGAAATTTTTTTTTCACCTTTATCATTTTGATTGATTTCATTTTGACTTTTATATTAAAACATGTTATAATTTAATATTATATTTAATGTTTAGCATTATAGCCTAGTATATATAGCGCTTTGACATTAATCAAACAAAACATTTTTACCTTATCAAAATAAAACACTTCAATTTTTCTCAATTGAAATTTTCAAAATTTCTCTTCAACAGGAAAAATTTTAAATTTTGATTTTTCATTCGGATTTGGAACTGCAAAAAATGTCACTTCAGAATTTCCTGCAGAACAGAAATTTGGTTTTCCAACCATTTCTAATTATAAACAAGGAAACAGCACAACACTTACCAAACAAATGTATAGCTAGTAAGTAATCACTATCTTTCTTCAAATATCACCTTCTTCAGCACCTCAGCATTTAAGTTACACCAGTCTAGTCTCCTTCCAATAGCAGTTTAGGGAGACCTGGTTCTCCATGGCTGCATACCACGTGTAGATATTTAAACATGAACAGAGTGGGTATAAAATGCTACCATTCTGACTTGCAAAGGTATAGAGGACTACACAAGGTGCATTGGATAATAAGGGAATCTATGAACCTGATCCAAAGCCCACTGAAGTCAATGGCAAGACTCCCCAGTTGATTCTCATCAGTTTTGGTTTGGACCCTGTATTAGCTTAAAAGATGCTTATTTATGCATTTTGCCTTCTGACTTTGGCACCTTATCTAATACCCCTCCTTTGAATCTGTTACAGCCACAGGGATTTTATTTTATAAGCCCCATATGTGGTTTATGGTGTTTGAATTGGGGACAGTATTTGATAGTGTCTGATGTAGTGTCTCATGCAGCCTTCCTCTCAAAATTAATTCAGCTCAGCTTGGACAGACACACACTTCATGTGGACCAAAAACAGACAGCAGGACCAAAAACAATAAGTAATGACAAATTGCAAAGCACTGAGGTCCAAGGAGGTGCTTAGTGTGGTACTGCAGAAATTGTATTGGGCAGATCTTAATGTCTTCATTAATGGCCTAGAAGAGGGATTAAACAGCCCATGAATGAGATCCCAAGAGGATATCAAATTCAGAGGAGCTGAAACCATAAACAGGACAGAGAAAGGCTACAAAAGGCTAGTGGGTGGAAGCAGGGACAATAAATAGCATTCTAAGATTTATCTTGGAAAAATACCAACATATGTCTCAAGTACCTAAACACCAGGGTTAAAATCATAGTGTCCTCAGTGCCCTCCCCTCGGGTGGAGCACCTGCCTTGTACGCCTAACCATCCTTAGCATGGCTCAGCCTCACAAGAGGCAAGGTGGAGCCCCAAATGTGACTTCCCAAATGTGTAGCAGACGGTCAAAATTGGATGGTTATATCACAGAAAACAACGTACATTTTGCAATTTGCATACTGCAGTAGCTGTACATTGTTTCTATCTATATTCTTTATCAATGAAAATACAATATTTGCTCTTTGGTTATGGGTTAAAAGAGAAAGGGGATTAATTAAAGCACTATGCTTAGCACTAAGGAGCTGTCAAGCCCACTAGCTTAGCCAGCTTTAGCCTTTTCTGCTCCTGCCTGGCTCACTCCCAGCTGCAGGTGTTAACTGTTGGTTAGCTCTAGGGGTATTGTTCCTTCCCTTCTTTATAAAATCAAGGTCAAGGTCAACTCAGGTTTCTCTCTCCCTATTCTTCACTCCCCCTTCCTTTCAGTGAATTTACTGTTGGCCCCTCAGCTGCTCTCTTCTGTGGATTTACTCCAGTTGCTGTCTCTTCATTCTCATTCCTCTCTCAGGAATTTGCTGTCAACATCTGCCGTGCTGGGCATGCAGGGAGCTGAGAGCTTCACAGACAGAGCCGAGTTGCAACATGCTCTGCATAGTTCTTTCCATTTTAGGTACTTATATAGCTCCCATTACCATATCTGAGTTCCTCACAGTCTAACACATGTATCCCCCCACTTTTACAGATGGGGAACTGAGACTAAGTGACTTGTCCAAAGTCACACAGGACGTGTGGTAAAGCAGGGACTCAAACCCAGGTCTCTCAAGTCATAGGCCAGTGCCTTAACCAGTGGACTATCCTTCAGATTTACAAACAAGGGAGAGGCTTACACATGAAGAAAACAGACAAAACATTTAAGCTGGTAAAACAGGGTAGTATAAAGAGTAGCAGAATGAAATTAAGACAGGAAAAATATTAATAAGGATACAAGAGGGGATCCTTCTGCACTAGGGGGAAGATGTCCTGATAGCTCTTTCCAATCTCTAGCTTCTATAATTGTATGATCTAAGAGTTAGACCCTGATCTCAGTTACACCCATATTTATTCAGAACAAGTATATGGATTCTGCTACAGTTATTCCAGATTTACAATTGCATTACTGAGATCAAAATCGAGCCCTAGATATCTACTCCAGTGCAAGGAGAGGAAGAGTAAGTAGGAGGTGTCTCTTGAGGATAAAAGGCCCAACACTAGTTATAGCCCATGCGATCCAGAGACTTGCCACAATGGCCAACAGAAAGACCTTTCTGAGACCTCTACCCCTAAAAAGATAGCATAGATCATAAGTAGTAACAGAGACAGATCTACAGAATCCAAAGT